TTCGACCATGAATGGATGTTGACTTTTATCAAATGCTTTTTCTGCACCTAATGAAATATCCATGTTTTTTTTTCTCATTTTGTTAAAATGGTTTTTTTTCTATTATATTGATATATTCTCCTTTTTATGTATTGTTGGATTTGATGTATATTTGGAAAGACAGTCCTGCATGGGTCCTTTGCTGCTCACACAAACACTTTTGTGACCAAATGTATAGAGATTTTTTCCACACCCAGCTATCCTCAGATTCTCCAGACATCAGCTGGATGTCCTGCAGTTTAATTCAATTCTGACACTGTGTACCTGGAGGTACATTATGTCCCACAAATCTGCTCCTCACATACACACACTTCAGATGCCAGTCGCAGAACCAGGTTGTATCCTGTGCTGCTGCTGACCAGCTGCTGTAAGCTGGAGGTTCCCATGACCTGCTCCTTGAGTTCCACTAATTTGCTAGAGTGGCTCACAGAACTCAGGAAAATAGTGTGCTTACCAGATTTCTGACTTACTACAAAGCACATTAAAAGATGTGAAAGAACAGCCACATGAAGAAATAAATACACAGGGCAAGGTCCAGCGGGTCCTGGGTACAGAAACTTCCGTCCCTGTGGAGTTCAGGGTGCACTGCCCTCCCAGCACATGGAGGTATTCTTGTTCAGCAACCTGGAAACTGCAGACCCTGCAGTTCAGGATTTCTTTGACCTCAAGAGAAAAATCCCAGACAAGGGGGACCTGACAGGCACCGACTCTGGGCCTTTTCCTGGGGTCTCACCACACTTGGCACAGGCAGCCGCTGTTGGAGCTAGGGTGGGAGCTCCGGACCCTGGGTGTGGGACTTGCCCTAGCAGGGCTCAGGCAGGAGAGCCAGCGCCTCGTCCGGCTTCTGCCACACATCCACATTCTAGAGAGGAAGTGCGAGGCCCTGAGAATCCTGAGGCTACACCTCCACTTGATACACTGTTTGGTTCATTTGTTTTAGGTGGATTTCCATTTTTATTTTAAATTATGTAAGGTATTTACATGGTTCCAGGTCAGAATACATTCCCAGGGGTCTGGCTCCCACCTACCCCACACCACTGCCACCGTATGTCATTTTTATTTGCTGCCGGTTTATCCTACCATGTTTCCTTTTTAAATATAAGCAAATAGTAAAGGTTTTAATTTCCCTATTTCTTATACAAAAGGAAGCATTCTATTTTGGTCCTTGCCCAGTTCCATGTAACTGTAGATAAACCACTCTATAACGGTAGCACAGAGACCTTCCCCACTCTGCTCCTCAGCACAAGACTCCCCCGCGTGGAGAGAGCGTGGTTCATCCAGCCAACCATCTTCCAGCGGACATTTGGCCTCTCCCAGGCTTTTGAGACCACAGAAGTGTTGCAGCGACCAACTTTGTGCACACATCACTTCGGTGGCCAGTCTTTTACCTAATATATTAATGTTACAAATTAGCGACAGTTTATAGGCACCCAAATTGAAATTTGGATTATCTTTATTTTTATAATTACATTAATGTAATGCTTTTTCTTTTTCCAGAATACTTACTTTTACAGCTGTGATATCATTTGATCTCCCAAGACCCCAGTGAAATGTCATAGGTGTTAACTTAGCAAAGACTGAACTCAAGATGAGTTTCCTTTCGGAATTACACAGTTTTTTTTAAGTATTTTTAAAAGTTCTCTATTCAAACATATTGTTTGGTTAGCATCTTTATTAAGTGGAAATTAAGTTGTAAATTTGATATTTATTAAATAATGGAATGGAAATGTGGCCTTTGGAATAGTTTGTTGTTTTACTATATGGCAGTTTTTAAAAGTATCTTTGTTATGGCTAAACAGGTGAATGCATTTTTTTAATGCTATAACCCACCATTGACAAGCCCTATGTTTCTGTCCCAGTGTGACTGAGCCCATTTTAGAGTTTTAGAATTAACTTCACTAAGTATGGGAGCCATGGAGCAGCTCATGTCTGGATACATAGGATTTCAACCTGAAAAGCCTGGCCCAGCGTGGATGTTAGTGTTCGCTTTCTCTGTAACCGGTCGCTGGCCCTTTGTCCTTCCTCACTCCCCATGGGGTTTCTGCCAGTGATCCTTGGCCCAGCGGGCTCTGTTCCATGCACACACCTCCACTGCACGATCCCGCTAGCCTGTCACACAGGAAGCACCAGGAATCGAACAAACATATGGGGTCGATCCCTGACAGAGAAGGAGGGGTGATGGGAGCCTGCCCCAGGTACTGACCATGCCGGCCTGGTCTTGGGCAGCGCAGAAAGGGTAGGGGCTCGCTCCAGAGGCAAGTGCGTGAGGCCGCTGGAAGGGCAGCCTCCGTCATGCGTGGGCCAGTAGGACCTGGACATGGTGGGAGGGAGTGGACATCGGTGGCAGGAGCTTTGAGCCAGCAGAGCCCCACATGAGTGATCTGTGCGCCAGAGGTGTGGGTGAAGGGTGCTGTCAAAGAGCATTTGCTGATGAGCAGAGGCGTGTGCCAAGAAGATGATTCTCTCTGCTGATGGGCCTGCCTATAGTTCTGAAGTCACATCGCCTGCCTGCCTAGCAGGAGTCCAGGACAAACCTGCTTTCCCTTGAAAGGCACCAGGAACACCTCAGACTCACCCACATGTGCCAGGAGAAGAGGTCCTCACTGGGCTCGAGCCCAGGGATGAGTATGTGCTCAGGGGCCTCTGAGCACAAACTAGTGAACTTACCTTGTCTCATCCATGAATCCATGTTCTTACTACTTAAGTGACTTAGATTTTCAAGTCAGAGAGGTTAGAAAAAGCCCCATTTCCATGGACTCTTCTGTTAGCGTCATTCAGTAGCTGCCTGGAGAGGATGCCAGGACCACTGCCTGTATAATGGCACCATCTTAGTCCATTCAGGCTGCAGTAACAGAAATACCACAGACCATGCAGCTTAAACAGCAAGCATGCATTTCTGTCAGCTCTGGGGCCTGGGGGCCAGGGCCAGGGTATGGGAGGGCCACCTCCTGGCCCACGGACAGCACCTTCTCGCCTCATCATCATCAGGCTGTAGGCAGCAGGGACTCCCTGGGTCTCTTTCATATGGGCACTAACCCTGTCATAAGGGCCCCACCCTAGGAATGATGGCTTTCTAGTGCTGAAAATACATCAGAATTTTAAACCTGGACCTTTCATGAGCAAATGCCATGGGAACCTGAAGCACACTGCCCATGTTGTTCTGGAGGCCATGACCGGCCAAGTGGCAAGGTCTGCAGGTCCCTGGTGACAAGCCTCGCATGCCACAACATGGTGGGGTCAGTCACCCCTGCCTCCATCCTTCCCTTGGCCCCACGACAGACTCTGTGGCCGGGCCCTCCTGGACCTGGAGAATAGGCTCCCCTCCTGCGTGGCTCTGCTGGCTGTGCAGACTGACGCAGAATCACAGACATGGCCTTCCGTGCTAAAGCTTTGTGTTGGCCTCACCCCTAGTTGTGTCCTCCAGGCACATCTCACTGCACATCTTGTGGTTGGGGTGAGCCTTGGGGCCAAGGGTGCAGAGCCTAGGCTGGGGCTCCTGTATGGCCGTGACCTCTTACCATGACTCCTGGTGGGGTTGGGGGGGGCATGTTCTGCTTTCTCTTTGCCTGAGGCCCCTCAGCTCATCACCTGCACTCATCAGCCTGAGAGCCAGGCAGTCGGGTAGGGGAAGCTGGCCTCATCCCAGAGCGCTGGATGCCTCTCGCTACCTGGGCCAAACAAACCAGCCTGCATCCCAGCAGCACCCTGATGCTGCAGGGAAGTTGAACTTGCTCATCATAATCTGTGCTGTAACTGAGGGGACATGTGGGGTTTATCCCCTTAAGCAAACTGCTCTCTTTTGAATCATCCTGTTTTAAAACAGGAAGGCAAATTCTTCAATAAATAAACTTGATTCCTGGTTTCTTCCTTTGGGCCTGTTTGAGACAAGTGGGGAAAGAGAAATCAAGTCACAAGCTGCTTGCTCCCATCATCCTTCATCTTTATTCAGTGACATCACAAGCTTAGGCTGTAATCACGTTCCTTTCCAATGATCTTCCTCCTCTGTCTAGAATGTCAGCCTGCCGTGTGGTGTGGCATTTTTGTAAACCTCCATGACAGCATGGACCCGACTTACATTGGGTGACTGTCCCCCATGTAAGGGAGCATGGGAAGCCTGAGACCAATGCCACTGCTTTCTGTCTGAAAGAGTAAGGTTCAAACTGAATCGTAGGAAGCCACATCCTTCTTGTGGGTGAGGGGTGTGATTAATTTTCATCATTGTGCTTTTTAAGAGTAGCTTTACGTGTCTGTTCACTTCCACTTCCACTGTTTAGCTCCACTTAAGTCAACATTTGAAAGCCCTCTAAACACTAATTTATCCTGTGCGTGCCATTGCATTGCATCCAGCCATCAGATAGCCTCAGCTTGTGTCAATGTTCAGTCCAGAGACTGTTCAATCCAGGGAACAAAGAGGGACTCGTTTCCACCACAGAAATCCAGACAAAAGAGCCTTATCACTCCGGGCTGTAAACCAGGCTGCGCAAATGTGCGAAACATAGGGAATATCATGCCTGATCCCAGAAACTCCTCTTCTCTTGACGGTTCCCTGTCTTCAAAGACAACATCCAGAGTGCCGTCTCTGCTGGAAGCAAACCATCCAGGAATGCCACCTCAAGTGTGTCCCGTCCCCGCCGTCCCCATGGCTTGGCCTTAAGCGGGCCAGTCTCCACATCTGGGAAGGAAGGGCCAGCACCCTACCCATCACTGGAATCAAGCAGGAGAGCTTTGAAAGACACAGTCTGAATTTGAATCTCGGGGTAGGAGCTAGAAAAGCTGAAAAAAAAAAATTTCCCTGGTTTAATTTTTAAAAACACATATACACTATGTCTTTTCATGGCGCCTCCCTGTTTGACACAGAGGCAAAAAAGCCACACGCAGGTCGTCACCCAGTCAGTGCTTCAGTTTGCCAAGTCATGGCTCCTCCACCAAGACTGAGTCTAAGTCTTTTTCCTCCGTGACAGGGTGAGTCAGTGAAGTACTTCCTGGACAACCTGGACCGGATCGGCCAGCTGGTGAGTAGAGACCCGCCCTAAGAAGCCGCCCTGGCGCTAGAACACACCTGAGACCAGAGCGGTCTAGGTGCGAGGCTCGCAGCGCCTTCTCGGGCTTTTGTCCGTGCTCTGTGTCCCGTGGGGACGGGGAGGGGTGCGCAGAGGCCAGGGTGGCCTCATTCTTGTGGAGGCAGTGTTCACATTCTTGCTCGTGAGCCTTTAGTCACTGCTGAATGGAGATGTGAAGTGGTGTCTCTGTAAGAACCCTTCACCCGGGTCACCACAGAGGAGGCAAGACTTCTTTAGTTAGTAAACAGATTTCCTTTAACTTTTTATTAGGGCAAATTCAAATATATGCAGAAACAGTCAAACGATACCCCAGTTTCAACAATCACCACCCATAGCCAATCTCACTGCCCCAGCCCCACCTGCCCTCCAGGAGCAAATCACCCTATTGTTTCATCGGAAATAGTTCCAAGTGTATCAGCAGGGAAGCCGCTGAGAGTCATAACCACTGGACCATATCGCTCCTTAAAAACCAACAGCTGCCCCTGCTTATCAGCTAGCCGCTGTCAGTGTGGCGATTTTCCCAGTTGCCCTGTTTGTCTGCTTGGAGAAGCTGCTTTACTCCACCAGTTGGTGTCAGCCTCCTACGAAGGTTGTGCCCACACCACCCAAACTTCTTTTGATGTGTAGGTTTCTCCCTCCATCTTTCCTTCCTTGTAGCTTCTATGTAGGAGTCGCTGGAGTCTTTCTCCCTAGGGTTTCTCTCCTGGATTTTGCTCTTCTGTCCCTGCAGGGTTACTGAACGTGATTGTCCCCATGTACCTGTGCTTTGGGAGCTGGAACTACAGGCTTCACCATCATCTGGTGTTTTGGCAAGCCTGCTGTCTAAGTGCTTATGCACAGTACTCACTGCAGGTCTTTCATGGTGTGGAATCAAAGTGCCTCAAGAGTGACCGCAGTTCCTGTGTTGCTAAGTAAAGACTTTGAGAGTTCTCCAAGAATAACATATTAAACATATTGCAGACTAAATTTAAACAACTTTGCAAACCTAAATTAAATTAGTTCATAGTAAAGTTTTGGAATACATATGCTTTGAAAGTTAGAAAAATTACAATGTAGCTGTGGTGCAGAAACAAAGAAGATGGCCAGTTTCCCTGGGACAGAAAATGGGTGGGTTCCGGACTGGGGCCTCCGAGCATGAGCCCACTGCATCTGAAGCGCACTCAGTGCCCTCACTTTCCGTTCCATGGCGAATCCAGCCTCGTGAGCAGGAGCTGTCTTGGTGCTCGGCTCAGCTTCTCGCGTGTGAGTCTGACTCTCCTTTCCTGTTCTCCCATGTTCTTCCTCCTGAGTCTCTCCTTTGGCCTGTATCTTACAGAACTACTTCCCCAGCAAGCAGGACATCCTGCTGGCGAGGAAGGCCACCAAGGGCATCGTGGAGCACGACTTCGTCATTAAGAAAATCCCTTTCAAGATGGTGGATGTGGGCGGCCAGCGGTCACAGCGCCAGAAGTGGTTCCAGTGCTTCGATGGGATCACATCGATCCTGTTCATGGTGTCCTCCAGCGAGTATGACCAGGTGCTCATGGAGGACCGGCGCACCAACCGGCTGGTGGAGTCCATGAACATCTTCGAGACCATAGTGAACAACAAGCTGTTCCTCAGTGTGTCCGTCATCCTGTTCCTCAACAAGACGGACCTCCTGGTGGAGAAGGTGAAGGCCGTGAGCATCCGGAAGCACTTCCCGGACTTCCGAGGTGACCCGCACAGGCTGGAGGACGTGCAGCGCTACCTGGTGCAGTGCTTCGACCGCAAGAGGCGGAACCGCAGCAGGCCGCTCTTCCACCACTTCACCACCGCCATAGACACCGAGAACATCCGCTTCGTGTTCCACGCGGTGAAGGACACCATCCTGCAGGAGAATCTGAAGGACATCATGCTGCAGTGAACGCGCACTGGCTGCCTCCCAGGGCACCGGTGCACACCTGGCCTGGGAGCCCAGGAGCGCGTAGGACAAGGGGCCGACGGAGGCTACTGGACCCTGGGCGCGCGTGAAACTACTGAAACCCAAGCTCTGGCTTCGGAGCTGATGCATAAACCTAGTAACACAGCTCGCCCTCTCCTCCCAGACACTTACTCCTTTGTAATGCAGTTGAATCAAGGCGTGTGTGTGAGTGTGTGTGTGTGTGTGTGCGCGTGCGCAGGTGCGTGTGAGTGCACACACGCTCTGCCTCTAACAACAAAAACCAGTGGCCCTGCAGATGGCTCTCCCTCACCCTCAGGTCTTCAGCGAGGCAGACTGGCTGAAAGCTTTGCCTGACTGTAGGCGCATGCCGATGCTGCTAAACTCAGGGCCCCGGCCCTGGGGCCTCAAGGCCACCTCCCAAAGCCAGCGAGTTGCCTTTTAAAACTCTTTGTGCCAGTTTCCTGATAGCCCCCGGTCCTGGCGTGTTAGATCAGGCCGAGGGCCGCAGCTTAGAGGGTGGGAGCAGGGGCTCCACAGCATGAACTTGCCTTAATGCTCTGCAGCAGGCACTGGTCTTCCTGCCTTTCAGAGGGCCCAGCATCACCGCAGAGGGTGGAAACAGCTTGCTGACAGCAAATGTTCCTCCACCAGGTGCACACTGGTGCTCATCACTCCATACCCACCCTTCCCTCCCCCCACTGACTGGCAGAAACATTGGCCGGCTCACCTGGAAGGTGACCCTGTGTCTTACAGTCATCTTTGGAGACCTGCAGTGGCTGCATTTCCCATGTCCCTCTTTTGGAAGCAGTAGGGAGCTTCCGGTCCTCTCAGGCTTCTGAAAGCTGGCCAGGTGACCAGCAGAGCCTAGTGCACAGCTGCTTGGTGAGTGCCTAACACTGACCTTTTGGGAAGCCTGCAGACTATGGAGAAATCCAAGTTTCTCAAAACTAGCACTTACACCAGTGCCTTTAGACAACGGCCCCTATTTTCAACGCCTCCTTAAATTTGACTCTTCCCAGGGTCCCTTCCTCCTTGTCTGCACACATAACAGGTCAATACTACAAGCACAGCTCCCACCTGGCCAGAGGCTGTGCCATCGACGTGAGCTAGTAGCCCTTGCACTCAGATACTTGCCCAGTGACCTTTGTCCAGGTGTCTTCCACTGTGTTTAAAAACACATCACATTCCAAACCGGCCCCCACTGTGTTTTGCTCTACTAAAAAGTCTGTCTAGTGCGTACAGGACTTTGCCTAGCATTTAAATGAAAAAGCGGCTTCGTCTATAGCCAGCTCCAGAATGTTACTGTGGTTCAAACACCCATCCTGGGCGCTTGCCCTCAGGCCACACTGTTCCCAGTCCTCGTGTCCCCATTGCATCTCTTGGCTCATTCTCACAAGCCACATCCACATTCATTTGTGGCAGATGCTGACCCAGAAGGAGGGAAAGCCTGCCTCTAAGTCATCCTTGCTGCCACAGTGCTCTTAGCCAGGAGGCATCATGAAGCTCTTCCTCTTTGGTGCTCCAGGTGTATGCTGGTGTGCACTGGGATTTGGCATCTTTTTGGCTAGAGAAAAGTTGCTGTTTTTGTACTGCTTCCTGTGGCTCCTTATCAACTGAAGGACGTGACCCAGGATCAGTGCCAATGACCATGGTTTAAAGGAAAACACTCATTGACAGGCTCCCCTGGGGCAGTTCTAAGATCTTTTTTTTTTTTGCAGCTGGGTCCTAGGTGGTGAGTGCTCCCCACCGGGCAGTGTTCCGGGCCGTACCAGACTGCTAAGGTTCAGAGCTGCCCCACCAACCCGGGAAGGCGGTCATGGTTCTGGTAGAGATGCCGCCACAGCCGGTGTCATTAGAAGCCTCCCCAGCAGGTTTAGGTCAGCCTGCCCAGGGCTGTGCGTTTTCTCTTAAACAGCCTGATGCCCTTGCTGGCTGGCCTTCAGAGTGGGAAGCATGTAAGTAAGCAGAGTGAGGCTGCCCAATGGCCTGCAAGTGGGGTGTGGTGTCCCAAAGGCCTGGGGCCCTCTGCCTCTTCCCGGGAAACCCATAAGGGCCCCCAGCTCCAGCTTCTGGGCTTCGTCATCATCGGAGAAGAAGGTGACTATTTGCAAGGCTGAACTAAAGCATTTACAACTTTTCTACACATAGATTATAGCCGTTTTTGTCTACAGAAACCTTAGGCTTTTGTATTTTTTTACTTTCACTGTTACCCTTTTTTATTGACTTGTTGAAGCAGAGATAGCTGTGCCTCATCTACTATTGCAAAATGTAACAATAAACTTCCTCAAAATAAGCTCTTCTCATACTGCTTACACAGAAGGACACATGTAGGTTTTTGACTGAAATATTTGTAACTCTTCTGTTGGTAGAGAAATTGTTCCGAAGATTTCGCATTATAGCTTTGTAATGTATAGAGATCTCTAGAATTCTTGCCTCTGTAATTTTTTTACTTTCTGGATAAAAGAAAAAAGTCTGATTATTTTAACCCCAAGATCAAAAACTAATCTTGAAATAAGATTATTGGTTATGACTGACTGTCTTGGGGGTCCTGGGGACAGACCTTCACTAACTTGATATCATAAGATCAGGGCACCCATTCGGTGGGTGTCCGGGCGGCCTGCTCTTTGAACACTGTGTTCGCATCAGCAAGGAGGGTCTCTTTTGATTTGACCACCTTCAGTCTGGGTGTTTTTAAAAATAAACCCTTAGTCTTTCTTTGCTTAATAGAAAATATTCAACATTCAAAACTAGCATTATGTTAAATTTTCAGCCCTCAAAATTAAGAGCAACTAACTCATCCTAATTTTACTTGAGGTTTGTTATTTGATAATCAAAGTTTTACATCCACATGCTAAACAAAGCCTCACACACAGGTACTGACACAAATACCATTTTGAATGAAAGCCTGGAACACAACAGAGTCGTAGAGACACACACACATGGGTGTGCGTGCATGCAAGAGAGCCTGCAGCTCCAAGATCAGAAAGCCTAGAAGGACCTGGTGGTTGACCTTTGACATGTCCTGAAACCAGGGACCAGGGGAGGCCAAAGGGAAGGATGGGATTGGGAGTCTTTGCCAAGCCCCCAGGGTCATTGTCTGGTGGGATCGCCCTCTCTGTGGATTCCTGACCCCCTGGCGGTTTGACTGTGCAGCCAGGGGTGAGAGCCCCTGGAGTAGAAAAGTGACCCCGGAGGGTTGCTGGGATTCCGTGTTTAGCATGGTGAGTTCCATGTCACGACGTGGTGACCACGAATCACTGTGACAGCATCCTGCCTCAGGAACACAGTGCTGTGTGTTTTATTTTGTGGTTTAAATAAGCCAAGAGGCCCTTTCTCAGCCTGTCGCAGCGTGTGGACCACCTCTCCACACAGTCCGTCATGTGCTTGACAGCCTCATGCTGAAATGGTTCCTGGAAACTTAGGAAGCTTTGCTTCAAAGAAAATGCCTGCTGTTTTGGGCTTAGCTCTTGGTGCAGCAGCCAGCCCCTGGAGACAGTCCTTACCCCTGATTCCATGTGTCATGGCCTTGGCGCCGGGTGGTGGGCCCACAGCTGGGAGGCCCGGCCCAGCACCGTGAATGGGCTGGTTTATCGCCTTGACTTTTCGTACCTTGCACCATTTGTGAGGCCTGTGCTGGACCCTGAAGAGAAGGGTGTCCGTCTCCAGGAGGTGGCTTGTTTCAGAAGCTGACACAGGTTATGGTCCTTCCAGAGTGCATGACGTTAGCTTTCCTGTGCTCAGGGAAGAGGAGCCCTTGGGCCTTTGGAACACTGTCACTGCCTACACATCCCATGGTAGTGCGTCCCCTGCCTTTGCTGAGGATGGCCTGCTCCTGTGGGTGCACTCTCACTGCCAGGCATAGTAGCCCTTGCACTCAGATACTTGCCCAGTGACCTTTGTCCAGGTGTCTTCCACTGTGTTTAAAAACACATCACATTCCAAACCGGCCCCCACTGTGTTTTGCTCTACTAAAAAGTCTGTCTAGTGCGTACAGGACTTTGCCTAGCATTTAAATGAAAAAGCAGCTTCGTCTATAGCCAGCTCCAGAATGTTACTGTGGTTCAAACACCCATCCTGGGCGCTTGCCCTCAGGCCACACTGTTCCCAGTCCTCGTGTCCCCATTGCATCTCTTGGCTCATTCTCACAAGCCACATCCACATTCATTTGTGGCAGATGCTGACCCAGAAGGAGGGAAAGCCTGCCTCTAAGTCATCCTTGCTGCCACAGTGCTCTTAGCCAGGAGGCATCATGAAGCTCTTCCTCTTTGGTGCTCCAGGTGTATGCTGGTGTGCACTGGGATTTGGCATCTTTTTGGCTAGAGAAAAGTTGCTGTTTTTGTACTGCTTCCTGTGGCTCCTTATCAACTGAAGGACGTGACCCAGGATCAGTGCCAATGACCATGGTTTAAAGGAAAACACTCATTGACAGGCTCCCCTGGGGCAGTTCTAAGATCTTTTTTTTTTTTGCAGCTGGGTCCTAGGTGGTGAGTGCTCCCCACCGGGCAGTGTTCCGGGCCGTACCAGACTGCTAAGGTTCAGAGCTGCCCCACCAACCCGGGAAGGCGGTCATGGTTCTGGTAGAGATGCCGCCACAGCCGGTGTCATTAGAAGCCTCCCCAGCAGGTTTAGGTCAGCCTGCCCAGGGCTGTGCGTTTTCTCTTAAACAGCCTGATGCCCTTGCTGGCTGGCCTTCAGAGTGGGAAGCATGTAAGTAAGCAGAGTGAGGCTGCCCAATGGCCTGCAAGTGGGGTGTGGTGTCCCAAAGGCCTGGGGCCCTCTGCCTCTTCCCGGGAAACCCATAAGGGCCCCCAGCTCCAGCTTCTGGGCTTCGTCATCATCGGAGAAGAAGGTGACTATTTGCAAGGCTGAACTAAAGCATTTACAACTTTTCTACACATAGATTATAGCCGTTTTTGTCTACAGAAACCTTAGGCTTTTGTATTTTTTTACTTTCACTGTTACCCTTTTTTATTGACTTGTTGAAGCAGAGATAGCTGTGCCTCATCTACTATTGCAAAATGTAACAATAAACTTCCTCAAAATAAGCTCTTCTCATACTGCTTACACAGAAGGACACATGTAGGTTTTTGACTGAAATATTTGTAACTCTTCTGTTGGTAGAGAAATTGTTCCGAAGATTTTGCATTATAGCTTTGTAATGTATAGAGATCTCTAGAATTCTTGCCTCTGTAATTTTTTTACTTTCTGGATAAAAGAAAAAAGTCTGATTATTTTAACCCCAAGATCAAAAACTAATCTTGAAATAAGATTATTGGTTATGACTGACTGTCTTGGGGGTCCTGGGGACAGACCTTCACTAACTTGATATCATAAGATCAGGGCACCCATTCGGTGGGTGTCCGGGCGGCCTGCTCTTTGAACACTGTGTTCGCATCAGCAAGGAGGGTCTCTTTTGATTTGACCACCTTCAGTCTGGGTGTTTTTAAAAATAAACCCTTAGTCTTTCTTTGCTTAATAGAAAATATTCAACATTCAAAACTAGCATTATGTTAAATTTTCAGCCCTCAAAATTAAGAGCAACTAACTCATCCTAATTTTACTTGAGGTTTGTTATTTGATAATCAAAGTTTTACTTTCACATGCTAAACAAAGCCTCACACACAGGTACTGACACAAATACCATTTTGAATGAAAGCCTGGAACACAACAGAGTCGTAGAGACACACACACATGGGTGTGCGTGCATGCAAGAGAGCCTGCAGCTCCAAGATCAGAAAGCCTAGAAGGACCTGGTGGTTGACCTTTGACATGTCCTGAAACCAGGGACCAGGGGAGGCCAAAGGGAAGGATGGGATTGGGAGTCTTTGCCAAGCCCCCAGGGTCATTGTCTGGTGGGATCGCCCTCTCTGTGGATTCCTGACCCCCTGGCGGTTTGACTGTGCAGCCAGGGGTGAGAGCCCCTGGAGTAGAAAAGTGACCCCGGAGGGTTGCTGGGATTCCGTGTTTAGCATGGTGAGTTCCATGTCACGACGTGGTGACCACGAATCACTGTGACAGCATCCTGCCTCAGGAACACAGTGCTGTGTGTTTTATTTTGTGGTTTAAATAAGCCAAGAGGCCCTTTCTCAGCCTGTCGCAGCGTGTGGACCACCTCTCCACACAGTCCGTCATGTGCTTGACAGCCTCATGCTGAAATGGTTCCTGGAAACTTAGGAAGCTTTGCTTCAAAGAAAATGCCTGCTGTTTTGGGCTTAGCTCTTGGTGCAGCAGCCAGCCCCTGGAGACAGTCCTTACCCCTGATTCCATGTGTCATGGCCTTGGCGCCGGGTGGTGGGCCCACAGCTGGGAGGCCCGGCCCAGCACCGTGAATGGGCTGGTTTATCGCCTTGACTTTTCGTACCTTGCACCATTTGTGAGGCCTGTGCTGGACCCTGAAGAGAAGGGTGTCCGTCTCCAGGAGGTGGCTTGTTTCAGAAGCTGACACAGGTTATGGTCCTTCCAGGGTGCATGACGTTAGCTTTCCTGTGCTCAGGGAAGAGGAGCCCTTGGGCCTTTGGAACACTGTCACTGCCTACACATCCCATGGTAGTGCGTCCCCTGCCTTTGCTGAGGATGGCCTGCTCCTGTGGGTGCACTCTCACTGCCAGGCCTTCCCTGTAGAACTCTCCAGAATGTGGAGGCTGGTGATTCTTTAGTGTACAGGCCGACACTGAAACAGGTGGATTTGCCCTCTGCACAGGGACTAATTGCCTAAAGCCCCTCCTCACACCCAGGGTGGCCCCTCGGAGGAAAGCATGCCTCCAGTGGCTCTGCTGGCCCGGGCCACTGGCTGTGCCTCACACTCAGCCTGGACACCCCAGGGCTCAGAGCAGCACTTTGCAAGCATGGGGCTGCACCTAACACACTTCTTGCTGAACTAGTCCCTAGGAGAGCAGACTTTTTCCAAGGCCATATCCCAGATGGTAACAGGAAAAGGAGGAGGCTAACCAGAAACAAGCAAATTGTCAAGTATCCTGGCAGGAGGGGTATTCTTAGGAATTTGTGTCGGGTGTAGCAAGGGGTAGGAAGTGTGGTAGAGGTCAGAAACAGGCCATGGGGTTCCAGCCCAGATAGGCCTCAGCGAGCAGTGGGCTGTCCTCACTGACAGGCACTGCTGGCCAAGGGCAGCTGCTCTGGCATCAGACCCCACCTGTGGTGACATGTTCCCCTCACAACCCACTGTACGCAGCAGAATGCCCAAAGTCACTGTGAGGCTGCTTTATACAAAACCCAGGGACTCTGCATCAGGTGACAGTAACTACGGCTGTGTTGCTCAGTTCACAGCACAGAGTG